GTCCCATAATATTTAAAACAATTGTGAAATAGAAAATGAATCCAGGAATATATGCGTAAGTTTAGATAAATATCACATTATAGAATAATACTGATATACAAAATGACTACTTATTCATCATCATCTGTATTCTGCTTACTAATAAAATACTTATACAAAGTTTAGGAATACAAATTAAAACAGCATTGCATTACCCGCAGCTTTTGGATTGGATTCAACACTCGGCTGACTAGTATGATGTAATACACACGGCTTGTTATCTGTGTAGCTTCAATTCCCACCCAAATCACTTTTTTCCCAAACTATCCTTCTCAACTGATCATTCAGTAGAATAACACGTCAGGAGGACAAAACATTATTCTCCCAACGCAAACACCTTCGAAACTAAATATGTAGATTGTTATCTGTTGGAGATTTTTTTTCTATTTCCAGAAATAGTCTGTGATGTCGGATGGTCTTCATTTCAAGGAAACTGTTATAAATATTTTTATTCTGAAGTTACTTGGCAAAAGGCCAGGACTTCGTGTCAAAGTTATGGAGCAGATTTGGCCGTGGTGAAAAATTATGCAGAGAACAACTTTATCTTCAGCCTTGCATCTCGGCAGAGTATCTGGATCGGCTTGACAGACATGGCTGAGGAGGGAGTGTTTAAATGGATTGAAACGGGCATGAATTCGGACTACAGAAGTATGAATTTATAATTGATTACCGTCACCATCATCATCATCATCATCATCATCATCATCATCATCATCATCTTTATCATTTATAACCAACATCCTCATCCTTCTCATTATTCATCAATTATTGCCATCATCATCCTTGTCCTCCCCATCATCATCCATCATTATTGTTATCCATCATCATCATCATTATTGTTAAAATGAGGATGATGACGATGAAGATTATAATGAAGATAAAAATGAGGATGAGGCTAGAATGGAGATAAGGAAGAGAATGAGGGCGAGGAGGATGATTCTCATCATTAATCATCATTATCATTATCATAACAATCACCATCGTCCCTCAACAACCATATTATCAATAATAATACTAATAATAATCATCATCATCAACCATTTGCTCATCGTCCTCATCCTCATCCTCTTCTTTATAATCTATCCCATTATCTTCTTTCTCCTCATCATCATCAACATCCTCATCCTCTTCATCAGCATCCTTATCATGAGTTTTTTTTTAAATAAGCGCAGTATTATTAATATATTTAAAAAAAGTATTTAGAAAAAGCAGATGAAAAAGGATAAAATTCAGAGAAATTGCACTGTCAGATTGATAAAAATTAAATTATTTATGTATTATTCTGTTCATATATATATATTCATTAATATGGTTATGACGCTCGCCTTGACAGCGAGAGGTCACAGGTTCGAGTCTCGCCCGGGGCATTTTATTACACAATTTCTTTATTCATTTATAGGACTACATTCGTTGAGAGCAATGCAACACTGTGTGTTATTATGTCCTTTATTTGAACACTGTATTTACTTTCTTTGATGATTTATATATACGGTAATTCAACAGTGTTAACGGAAACCCTGATATATATATATATATATATATATATATAATATAAAATAACAATAATAATAATAATAATAAATAATTAATAATACTTCAATAATACTTCAATAGGCCTATTTACGATAGTGTAATTAATGAGATAATTGTTGATTATCTCAATTGATATAGAAATATAATAGGTAGGCCTATATACCATTAATAATGATTCAGCATATTAAATCAACAATACGTCGTAAATGTAAAATTTGTTTGGTTTTTTTTTCAATAAAATTTTACCTATTTTATTCCTGTCTCTTATACGAGGCAGGCTGACCCACAACAACTATCTTTGGATCTGGAAGCTTTCTTCCGACGTTTAAGATGCCGTGAATTTTTCGCCGATTCCGACGGCAACACCACGGATAACACGGGCAATGTTACCAAATTCGAACATAAAAGTACCTGGAATCCCCCTAGGGATCGTTGCCCAGCTTTAGAAACTTTCATTCAGGCCATTGAGGAGGACGTTAAAAACCACACTCCTAGTCCAGATTTCCGCGACAATCTCACAAAAAATGAGATCGCCAATTTGCGTCAGCGTGATGATATTATCATCAAACCAGCTGATAAAGGCTCTGCCACTGTCAAATTCTATGAAGAGGAGTCCTTAAGACAACTAAACAATCCTCTTCACTATCGGAAGCTCACAGAGGACCCCACTCCGGAAATTTCTAAGGAAGTGGAAAAATCCGTATTAAAGATGGTTAAAAAAGGTTCCATCGATCCCAACATTGGACCCCATCTCATCCAGGTCGATCCGGCACCAGGACGTTTCTATGTCCTACCCAAAATCCACAAAGCAGGCCATCCTGGCAGGCCCATTATTTCGGGCAACGGTACTGCTACAGAAAAATTCTCTGAATATGTGGATGATTTATTGAGGCCATATGTTGTTGCTCTCCCCTAGTACATTCAGGACTCCACGGACTTTATCCGCAAAATTAACCAAATTTCAAATTTACCTAATAATACTGTTCTGGCTACACTTGATGTTTCGTCATTGTATACTAATATCCCTCATGACCCGTAGGAAAATAATGTATAGAATTTCTAAAGAAACCGTTCTATAAAATTTCTATAGGCTAATTCTATATGATTTTCTAAACCAGCTTTATAGAGTTTTAATAGATTTTCTACAAGGTCGCTAAAGATGTTTTGATGTAGTTTAAATAGAAATCCTGAAGAACTCCGATAGAGTTCTATAGAGTGTTCTTAGAACCTCTAAAGAAATTTTGTAGAAAAAAAAAATTCTAAGAAAAATTTATAGAATTTACATAGAGTATTTGTATAGAAAAACAAAATTTTATAAAGTTTCTTTAGAAACATTTTTATTTTCTATAGAACTACAACAATTACTATAGAACTTTTTTTATATAGAATTTTCAATAATTATATCGACTTTTATAGAATGCACATACAATTCTATAGAAAGTTAGACGAATTATATAGAAAAACTTATAGAAAATTACCATTATGAAAAAAATCTATAGAAAGTTGATAGAATTTTCATAGAAAAATACACAGGTTTCTATAAAATGTCTACAGAATTTATATATAAACATATATAAAGTTATAGAATGTTTATAGAAATAAATCAGAATTCTATAGAGTTTCTATAGGTTGATTCTATGTAATTTTCTAAAAGCTGACCTATAGAGTTGCTGTAGAAAATCTATAGGAATTCAAATGATGTCTTAATAGAATTCTATTAAAACTCTATATGGTTCTTTAGAAAGTTGATAGACTATAGATGTACAGAATTCCAACTTTCAAAAAACTTTCTTTTAATAAAATGTCTTTAGGCCTATATAAAATATCTAAGTTAACTTGTTGCAATGCCACTTTTTCTCTTCTCTTGCTTATTCCAATTGTATTGCACAGCCAGTTATGAAGTATTTATTTATAACAATCAGCTAAAACTTTATTGATATTACTTCAGATCATCACTGACAATGTTCAGCTGCCATATCTTTCAACTTGATCAACATAGAAACTTTTACCGCTGCAGCACGTCTGAGAAGATATAATTAGATTAATAGATTATAGATTTGGGGAAATTTATTATAAAAATGTAATAAAATAAACATGCAAAACTACTTTATGGCTAAGACTAAGTCTTATGACTAGCCTAGGCCTAGGGCCTAGAGGTGAAGTATAGTGTATAATAAAATAGAGACACTTACTAAAACATATCCCATATACCATAAGTTGACAAGTTGCACTGAGACTGTCAGTGTGAGGACATCACTGACCGTGGAGCTATCACTTGACACGGGTTTGGTAGTTGGCTAGAAGCCCAGTCAGTTGGCTAGGGTTTACCTATGACTAGGCCTAGCCTAGGCTAGGGCCTGCCTAGGCTGAGGTACCTTCATTTTCTTCCTTGCAAAACAATATGAATGATGAGTGTGAAACATAATACCGGATCTCGAGTACATATAGTTCGTTTTCAATCCATTAATGAACAGAAATAGTATCGCAACAAACTTGGTCATGCGTTTTGTAATTCGACCATCTCCTACACACGTATGTACTGGCCTGTACCTCTGATATTTAAAGGGCGCGTACAGCCTATTATTTTATTGTTTAGTGGCGCACTCACTCGCTTGTTGTGCCTACATGGGATATCAGTGCGCCATATTCTGCACGTAGTGAGACTCTCAGAGTCAGCTAAATTATAAACATATAAATTAGAATACAAAAGAGGCCTATGGAAAATAATATTTAATAATGGTGGTCATAAATATCAAGATTAAAACATTTCACCTTCTTACAAAAAGGCTGATTTTAGAAAGCTTTCGAACTTTGTTTTCTCGTTTTTTTTACGTGAAACGCGATGTGTTTGTTGTTTGGTTCAGAGCTACCTAATTAGTATATTCATGCTCTATTTTGATTGCTAGAAACATCAGGGAAATGGATTTATGTTTTGTGATAAAGTGCAGGCAGATGATTTTGATAAAATCCAGATAATTTTAAAATTGAAGAGTTGTTTATAATATTTTCATAAATTTATAAAATAACATTCATACAATACGGCATTTACATAGGCCTATTATTTCCTATGAAATCTGTCAACACGTTCTGTAAAACGTATATAGAATATGTATAGAATTTTGATAGAAATCCCCAATTACGATGTAAAAAAATTAATTCAATAAAAATCCATTTATAATTTTATAGAAATTGTATTATACATTCTATACTTTTATCTGTTTAATTTCTAACGACTTTCTGAACAATTTATAAAAAATCGTTCAAAATTAAATAGAAAATATAACGAGATATAGTTATTTTCTAAAAGAAAAATATGAAATTCTGTAGACATTATATTTAAAAAATCGAAAGAGAAAATATATAATTAAATCTATAAATTGTATAGAATTTAAATAGAATTCTTTCTATAACATATTTTTCTAAGCAATTTCCTATAGAATTATATTTCTATAGAACTATCTCTATAGAGAATGGATGGGGTCTTATATAGAGAAAAAAAAATCTTGGATCAATTTCCTATAGAATTATATTTCTATAGAACTATCTCTATAGAAAATGGATGGGTCTTATATAGAGAAAAAATCTTGGATCCAATTTTCTATAGAATTATATTTCTATAGAATTATCTCTATAGAGTATGGATGGGTCTTATATAGAGAAAAAAATATTGGATCAATTTTCTATAGAATTATATTTCTATAGAACTATCTCTATAGAGAATGGATAGGTTTTATATAGAGAAATAATTCTTGGATCCAATTTTCTATAGAAGTCTATAAAAACTCATAAATGTCTATAGACTTTCTATAGAATTCTATAAAACATTTTACTACGGGGAAGAAGGTGTTAATGCGTGCATTTCAAATTACAAGCAAATTCGGGGCAAAACCCCATCTAAATCACATCTCCGTGAACTTATCATGCTGATTCTGACCAATAATAACTTTATTTTCGGCGACGGTCATTACCTTCAAATTCATGGCACGGCGATGGGCACCAAAATGGCTCCATCTTTTGCTAACTTATTTATGGGACAATTTGAGGCCAATTTCCTGTCCCTACAGCCCAAGAAACCAGATGTTTGGTTTCGCTACATTGAGGATATCTTCATGATCTGGACCCATGGTGAAGATAGTTTGGATACGTTCCTATTGAACATTAATTCGGCTCATCCCACAATCAAATTCACTGCAAACAAATCCACAAGCAGTGTAGATTTTTTGGACATTACCGTGACCATGGCAAATGGTGCACTTAAAACTGATCTCTTCCGTAAACCCATGGATAAACATATGTACCTGCTCCCTAGCAGCTGTCACCCCCCGCACTGTACAAAAAACATTCCGTACAGCCAAGCATTGCGCATGAGACGTATTTGTTCTTCGGATTTAGATTTTCAGAATCGAACAGAAGAACTATCCGGACATCTCCGGAATAGAAATTATCATCGAGGACCCATTGAAAATGCTATAAAAAAAAAAAAGCAAAGGACAGACCTCGTGCTCAAACACTGACGTACAAACCACGTCAACGATCGACCAAATTGCCACTGGTCACTACCTATCACCTTAGGTTACCACCACTAAGGGCTATAATTCAGAAGCATATGCCCATTCTACAGACCACAGAACGTCTTAGGTCTGTTTTTCCGGATACACCGTTCATAGCCTATCGCAGACCACCTAACCTTCGTGATATATTATTACGATCTAAATTCAAGAAGCAAACTAACTCTTGCGACAACCGTAATTTTAGTAGTCATCTTTGTGGTTCATCATGCAAAACATACTCCTTGCTAGATAATAATTGCATTATAGGCCTATCACATAATTTTCCGACCATTACCATCCCAATGTCAATACTCAACGTTAACGTCACCAGCAAAAAGCCACGCTACTACAAAAATTTAATTAGATCATCAATTTTCAATTAATTTCGAAAATTATTGTAAATTACAACTTTGTGAGATTTAGTAAACTGTATTTTCCCATGCGAAATTCGTCTACATTTCTTTTGCAAATTGGCTTGATACTGGCCAAATCGGCCAAAGTCTATTTTTTTTTTTTATTTATGTGGCAAGCCGTATCAAATTTGTTGGCAGGCCGCAGTTGGCCCACAGGAAGCGGGCTGAAACTGGGGTATATGTGTTGAGAAAATAAAAAACAGAATAGGCCTATATTTTCTTCGTATGTCTTGCGTATTTTCTATGCATACTTTGTTCTGATAAAGTTCAAATCAACTTTTGTACCCCTCCCCCGATTCTATTTATTTAGTTAATTGAATATTGGTGATATACGTGAAGAAAATGTTTATAATTAGAACGGCCCTAACCCAAAAATAAGGTACATGTACTTAACATTATCAAAGTTTATAGAAGTGAAACGAAATATGTATAAGTATATATTTCAAAATCAGCTTTAGATGATGAAGACCCACAACTTGAAGGATGTCCAGAAGACTTAACAGTTGGTACCAACCAGGGAAAAAATTACGTTGATGCCAGATGGACGGAACCAATAGCATCCGATAATGTAGGAATTAAAACAGAAACGCAATCACATTCGCCAGGAGATAGGTTTAGACTCGTCGACGGAAAACCAACTGTTTACACTGTGCGATACTGGGTACAAGATTATAGAGCAAACGAAGCAGAATGTCTCTTCAATGTAACTGTCATTGGTAGGTTTGTTTAACTTTATGATGTAAATAAACTGGTTCATTTCAGTGATAGCATTATTTTGCATACAATTGGTAACATGCTAATAATTATACTATTATACTATAGACGATTATTGTGATATGTTCATTTGTAGCTGATATACAAGAACGCGTATATGTTTATTATTTGAATACGTTTTGTGTATAATATCTATTTGGTTAATGGGCAAGGCCTTATGAACTCTCTTCCAGTTGGCGAATACGACAGTGCAATAAAGTAAAAAGAACAGAAAATATCAATTTAAATTCTTGAAGTGCTATTTTGTCATTCTCCAATGACAGATGACGAGGCACCAGAGCTGCAATGTCCAGAGGAAACATCCAACTACTACAAAACCTTCTACGGATTTATCCACGCCTCTACTGACGAAGGAAGCCCAAATGGTACAATTACATGGACACCGTCCGTTGCTAGAGATAATAGCGAAATTCCACCTATTATCACAAATTTTCCAAACAAACCAGGTGATGTATACCCGATGAAATTGTTTCCACCGTACACGACTACTATTACTGCAACCGACAGATCGGGTAACTCAAGAGAATGCGTTTTACATTTTGCTGTTGTTGGTATGTATGCACAGACTATTTTTTTTAAATTGTGTTCATATACAAAAACCTACATCCATCATAAAGGCACACTGACTACTTAGTTGAGAAGGAATTGATAATTGTAGAGTATAGATATACAGACAGGCGTATATTCATTCATTCATTCATTCATTTAAGTAAGGAAGTGAAAGAGTGTGAATTAGTGGGGGAGTGAGAGAGTTAGTGAATGAGTGAGCAAGTAATAAAATGATAAATAAATGAATAAATAAAAAGCACTTTAAGAACATGACATGAAAAATAATATGAATAAAATAGATAAATAAATAAATAAATAATAATAAATAAATTAATAAATAAAAACTACTCTAAAAAGTTAAAAAGGTACTTAGTTAATTACGTGAAACGTTATTTGACACTATACAAAGAATAAACATGATATCTGAGAATAAAATTCACATCCAGTAGGTGTTTGAGATAGATTCTTTTACATATAACAGTAAACTATTCCAAATAATTATATATATATATATATATATAATTATATATACATATATATACATATATATATATATATATATATACCTATATACATATATCATGACAGTACGAGAGAGAATTAGAGAATTGGTGCGGGTTTAATGAATTAATGGATGAATACATTACACTATTGATAACTATTTTTAATTTTAGTAGATTTAAAGACTAAAATAATGGGTCAGTATGAGCTCTTGATGGTGCACCAGATATTATTCGGAGAGCTTCCTTTTGTCTAGTAAATAATTTAGCCTCAACGGTGGCGGACGCTGGGGGCCAGGAGGGCCATTGGCCCACCCACTTTTTCTACTGGGAGGCCTGGCACACCCATTTTTATGACTGTTCCAAGCAAAATAGTTTTTAGAACAATTTACGAACGCTGCAATGTCATTATTATTATTATTATTATTATTATTATTATTATTATTATTATTATTATTATTATTATTATATATCTATACTATTATTATTATTATTATTATTATTTATTTATTCTTATTATTATTATCATTATATTATTATTATTATTGGCTTTTCCCAGCAATACTGAGAAAAGCCTCTGACTTTTTAAACTTTTTTGTTGCATATATATTTCCTATCTTTTTGCACTGTTTTTTCTGGCCGTCACTTTGGTCACTTCCCATGCACTTTTTCTACTGGGAGGCCTGGTGCACCCACTTTTGTGACTGTTTCAAGCAAAATATTTTAAGAACATTTATTATTATTATTATTATTATTATAATTATTATTATTATTATTATTATTATTATTATTATTATTATTATTATTACTATTATTATTATTATTATTAATATTATTATTATTAATACGTAATACGGATTTGTTTATTAACCAAATAATGATTTTTCAAGTTCCTTTGATATCACTTTAGTAAATTTGAATGATAAAATACACAATGTACTTAGAAATAATGAAGTGACATGTTTCGTTGTTTTTGATTTTTAAATAAACGCTAAACTACTATTATTATATTATTTGTATTATATTTATTATTATTTTTTTAATGATTTTTTTTATTGATAACTCATGTTATTTACTGTCAATATGCTCACTGTTCAAGTAATAATTGATTGATTGATTGCTTTTTTTATAGACACTGAAGGCCCTGTTGTAACTTGTCCAACGTACTCAAACAACATGATTTCAAGCTCATCCAAATCTTCCTGGAGAGTGTTAACTGATCCGGGCTCCAGTTCTGCTCGATTGTATTGGTACCCGGCTAACGCTACGGACAACAGTGGCACTGTGGTGTCTGTTACCTCTAACTACAACCCAGGTGATGAATTTCTGGCCAGTAATGTCTCCCATCAAATAACGTACACTGCAATCGATGAAGATAACAATGTAGGAAATTGCTCATTCTTTATAACAGTTGAAGGTTTGTTAAGTTTTTGTAAGCCATTACTATTGCGAATGTTACACCTTATAGGCAATGCATAAGTTTCAGATTAAAAAAAAAATAATATTATTGTTATTGTTGTGATTATTAATAATAGCTTTCCATGGAAAAGTTACAAAAACTTAATCGAAGTCTACACTCATATGAGGCTTGGGAAGTGGACATCTTTTGGTTTGTGAAGGATTTAAACCATTGACCTTGGTATTTGAAAGCAAGTAACCCATAATAAGAACGACAATGATTACCAATAAATGAAACTTATATCGTGTTTGTTAGATATGGAGAGCCCATCAGTCGAATGTCCGTCACATCTACATTCAGAATCTGTTTTCCTATCATGGAACATTACGATCAGTGATAACGTTGGAGTCTTTCATTGGATGGCAAACGACTCCCGTGTCGTACCGTCTCATTCTACACCAAGTGACACAAAAATCACATTCCAACAAAATGGAACCTTTGTAATTGGTACAAGTTTTGTTGAATATCTGGTGACAGACATTTCTGGAAATACAAGAAAATGTTTAATTGTAATCACTGTTGAAGGTGAGAATATTAGTTAAATAGTTAGTTTTCTTTGCTAAACACCTGGCGCAGGTTCCATTCTAATATAAATAGGTAGTATAATGAAACTACAAAATAGTAACTAAAGTAGGCCTTAATTATATATAGTTTAAGGTTTAAGAATGTAAATTGCATATTTACGGTTTCGATCACTTCGGTTGTTTTTTTACTATCCCAGGCCCCACCATTGTCTGATACTAACCATAACGTTATCTTCTATCTTATTTCAGACTTGAAAAGACCGTCAATAATTTGCCCCAGTAATTTCTCTAATTACTACGATTATGTATTTGGTTTTCATCGTCTTGTTGCTGATTACGGTCGGTCATATGCAACAGTCACTTGGCCTTCCCCAGAAGTGAACGACGACAGTCAAGACCCTGTCACGTGGGAAAGTTTCCCATATAAATCAGGTGATAAGTTTCCTATTCGACAGTTTCCACCATACACTGTACAATTCACTGCAACCGATAAATCTGGCAATAATATATCCTGTTACGTATATTTTACAATAGTAGGTAAGCAAACATGGTTTATTTATATACATACATAATACATAATTTGTTTGCCATAGCAATTTCTTAATTTATATAAGCACATTCAAAGTACTATGGTATAATTCGCTATATAAAGTCCCTTTTACAATACATAATATTTTGACGTTTCTATAATCCTTACGAAATAATATGAAGACCTATAAGTTAGCTCCACCTCAAGTAGAAACAATACCACTCAATCACAATTTTTCTACACTATTCAGCAATGGATTACTTTCAATTAACATTTTGCAATGAAACGTTTACAAAGTGAATCTGTCAGTTTACATTTCATAGATTTTCAGAAAGTTCGCTGGAAAATTTGCTAATGTAATATTTTTCTAAGATAATAAATACAGTCGTGGATGGCCAGGGTTTCAATATATATATATATATATATATATATATATATATATATATATATATATATATATATATATATATATATATATATAATGAGGAAGCGAAGGTAAAAGTGACCCTTTTACTGTTGAAATAGGCCCGAAAATTTAAAACTGTTTTATGTGAAGTCATATTATGATTATATGGGTATATATAATATGTTTTAGAGAAAATATAATTGGTTAGTGGTGACAGAAATCCTTAAAATTTTTATTTACAGTGGTCAAATTTCATTGTTTTGAAGGCTTACGACAAGATACGTACTGTATGGAAAATATAAGCACAAGTTTAACTTTTTTTTTTTATCAATGATAATTGTAGCAATGACTATTTCCTCCCCGGATCGCTATGATTAAACACACACAGTGGCTACCACCAGTTTAGCTAAGATTGTACGAATTGTACACAAAATTTTGCTAAAAAGTTATTAAATTCTAGGATCTCAGGAAGTGAGTTGTTGTAATTTTACAGTATTACGTAATCATCACACAATAAAAACATTTTTTTTTCTATTTTTTATTATAGCCTATTAGTAAATGCCTGTGAAATTATTGCTATTGTTAGACCACCTATGTTGCAACACTAAGGTTACATACAGCATGAATATGGAGTCGATGTTTTATGTATACATTACCAGTCATCAAAATTAAGCTCATTGAATTTTTTTGTAAATGAAGTACATCAAGAGTGGAAATGGTTATTGCAACAATGATTAATGAAGAAAAAAACAAATTTAACTGTAACTTTTTTAATCAGTGTGCATCTTTTTAAAAGGTGTCAAAATTCCGAGGTCCAAAAAATGCTTCATTTAAGACCTGTACATTTGGTATTTGAAATATCATCTATAAAGCCCACCACTATCAAGAAACCTTTATTTACATGGATAAACTTTTAAAACCTTATCTTATACCTTTCTTTGATTATTTATATATAATTTAACAGCGTTAACGGCTATCTTGATTTATATTATATGCAACTATGTGTTTCCAGCCGTACTTACTGTGTAATAGAGTGTACCTGGCGGTATTTTGTATCTGTTCAACCATGAAGTCTCTGTGGTCTAATGGTTATGACGCTCGCCTTGACAGGGAGACGTCGCATGTCCGAATCCCGTCAGAGGCATTTTATTACACAATTTTTTTTCATTTATTTATATGACAGCATTCGTTGTGAGCTATGCTACACGATGTATCATCATGTCTATAAATTTTCTCTAGAATAATAAATAATACAGCAGCTGCCCAAGGCTTCAAAATTACCACTGTTCTGCTATGCACATGCCCACGCACATCCTATAAATTTTCTCTGGAGGTTGAGTGAACAAATTCGAATTGATTTTCAACTTCTTACACGATTGCAAGCCATTTAAATATAATCTCAATTACAATAAAAATACTCAACATGTCATAGGCCTATTGTTTTATCATCTTTATGTCCAATGAAATTATGTATTAAACTACCAGTATTTCTTTGAATTTCAGACATCGAACCACCGATTATCAATTGTCCAAAAAATATCACAAATTACCACGATACATTCTTTGGCATTGTCAGAGCTGCAATTGATCCGTTTTCCAATACAAGTACAGTAACCTGGGATCACCCTACTGTGTCTGACAACAGCGTACGTCATGTAAAGGTGACATCATCCTACCAATCCGGTGAAAGTTTCCCACCAAGATTTTATCCACCGTATGAAGTGGAGTTTACTGCTGAAGATGAGTCGGGAAACAAGAATACCTGCAAATTATACTTCCTTGTCACAGGCAAGTTCACTGATGAACAAATAAATTAAGGTTTTTCACAACATTAATGAATAAAAAATTAAGAAGACCTCAGTATGATACTTTTTCAGCTTTGGAAATAATTGTATAAAACCTTTAAAAATTGGCACGGATACCACTTTTGTTACCAAAATAAAATCTTACAATTTTTATATATTTAGTAATGAATTAATATATTCTTTGTTATTTGCAACCTTAAAACATCCATATATTATATATTTTACTGTTTTCATTGTTTTTTATTTAAATAAATGCCATGCATAAAGAGAGTGTTTTCAGTATGTGTATTTATTGAATTAAAATATACAATGACGTTACATCTTGTGATACAGACTTCAATGTCACCAAGAAAATACTAACTATAATACACAAACCTAACAGAGGGTCTGTGGTTGGATACGGCCATGAGCATTTGTTCTCATTAAAAGTATATTACAAAATCCGTTTTCCTTCACGCTCTCGGGCGAATTTATGAAATCATTCTTGCAGACAAAAATCCACCCGAGATTCAGTGCCCGAGCTTTGTTAAAGCCGATAGTCAGACTAGCATGAACAGTAGTTTAGTACGTTGGCAGATTGTTGTAAGTGATGTAGAACCTATATCGTTAATCAAAGTGAACAACAGTGCAGTGATGCCATCTCGTCTCGAACCTTTCAAAAGAAAGGTTAATTTCACAGCAACGGCTCTCCTACCGGCTGGCATCACCTATATCGAGTATGCATTTGAGGATTCATCAAGTAATGCTGCATTCTGTACTTTTCAAGTTGAAGTTTTAGGTAAACCACCATCTAGAATTTATAATTACTAATTATGCACATTATATTAAGATTCTGTGAATTAATAAGAAATCACTTGTTTAAAGGTATTTTCTAAAGTCGAATTCATCTTATTCCAATAGGTGAAATAAAACCATAGTATATTATATATTGTTTCAGAATATGTTAGTACCTTCACGTCGCCGTTTACACAAATCGTGAATAAGCAAACCGTTAAATCTGATGTTACGACTGCTTCGTCAACCTTGCCAAACGCAATCTACACTGCTTATCTTTACACCGATGAAGTTACAGACAGAAGTACTTCTCCATTAGTATCACCTACTTCATTACTATCCCAAATATCATTATCTACATCATTGTCAATGACATCCTCATCCTCGGTATATTCACCTTTATTGTCCATAACACCATCGACGTCATCATCATCATCATCATCTTCTTCGATATTTGCATCATCCTCATCGTCGTCCTCGTCGCCATCATCATCATCATCATCATCATCACTATCTTCATCATTTATAACAGCATCCTCAATAACTACACCATCACAATACTATGGCTTAGCATCTTCCTCTCCATTATTGTCTTCTTTATCATCACCAGCACCATCATCTTTATCATCATCATCATCATCATCTGCATCCTCCTCATCCTCATCATTGTCAACAACACAAAGGTCATCCTCATTACCATCAACATTGCTTTCATCTAAAAGTGTAACTGATGAAGTCGTTAACACACTGCAACACACTAATATGATAACCGAAGATGCTAACTTTAAGCACAGAACCCAAATTACTAACCAGAAAAACACTGTTCATCAATCAACTGACCCACAACTGACTGATGTTCTTCGACCAACAGACCCACAACCAACTGAGTTGACTGATAGACAATCATTTAACCAACATACAACTGCAAAACCATTCCTTTCAAGGCAGTATACTGACCATATAGATAAACGTTCAAGAAATCAACACCGAACTGTCCATCAAGAGACTACTAAACAATTTTCAACTGACTTAACACTTTCGACCAAACAACAGTCAACTGACCAAACAATACATCCACAGACACAGAACACATTACTTAACAAACTGTTGACTGCAGAAACTGTTAGTAGCCAGCGATTTACTTCTTCGGTTGACAATACAGTTTCCAGTTCGAGAAATGTAAATTCAGACCATACATTATATAAATCACTTTCAACTGCAGCAAACGAACTATCAATTTCAGATAATCTATACAGAATGACAGAAGATACTATATATAATTTTACAACTGCATCATCGCTTAAAATTGCAACGACACGGATTGTAATTGAAGCCAAAATCAACAATACGAACAGTAATGGTAAGTATCAAATTCTTCTGTACACAACTGATTTAACCTTCATGATAGGCGATTGCAAGCCTTTATTCAAAACTACGGCCTTTACGGCCCAGAAACAGACATGTTTCGATAGTTTCGATAGTACTTCAAACATTAGTGAAACAATTGTACACCTGAACTATGTCTAGGCCTACATACATATATTGGGATAACAAATAACAATACTTAGCATGATAAGAATTTGAATTAAACCGTGACTTCAAATAGAACAACATGAATCTAGCATGAATAAAGAGAAAAGTAAAATAACAATATAGCATTGAATAATGAAGAATGAAACAAATATAAAAATACAAAGGTAAAATTGACATGCTATAAGTGTTTGTTAGGCAATGGCTGTTACTGCTGGATGTGTAACGCTTCTTTTGTTTTGAGAATCTGCGTGGTGAGGGCAGAGTCCAGTATGGAAAAATAGTTTTAATTGATCAAATGTTTGCAATGATTGGAATTTTCAAGTTTGTATCCACTGTTAAGTGTACCTGCACGCGTGGTTTAAGTGACGGCTTGTCTCGTCAACAAATCTTTTTGTCATTAAACGAAACAACACATCCACTGTATGGTGGTACCTGTTAGCTATGTTCTTACACGGCTGCTATCGGTTAGCAGGATCCGGATCCTGCTAACCGTTAGCTGCCGTGCTTCCATATGAGAAAATCCCGATCCGGATACCAAAAATATGATGATCGAATCACTGGCCAATAAGAAACTGGAAATTGTAAACGTGTACGTGTGATTGGTTGATGATAAAAACGCGCTCAACTTGCTAACCGATAGCGCTTGCTAACCGTTAGCGGTATGCGGATACTGCTAACGGTTAGCGCTAACCGATCGGGCGTTCTCACGCAGGTGCTAACGGTTAGCGCTAACGGTTAGCTCCCGATCCGGATACTAGGGCTCTCGTGAGAACCAGGCTATTATTGATTTCGTACGAACTATACCTAACATACGACTGTTGGTGAGCAACAGGCAGTATCTCTACAACCTGTAAAGTTCACAAGAAACTACGAGGCACTACAAATCACACTATAGAGTACTACAGTGTTACGTCACGATAAAACGTGATACTACTCCTTTGCTGTCGTTGCAAAATGCGTTTAACCCGGCGCCATTATCGCCACTATTAAACCATTGATCCCAATTTCTAACGTAATTATTAGGATGTTGTATCTTATTTTTGTTTGTTCGATAACTAATATAATGCGAGCTTTTGTGTTTTTAGTACATTTTGATGGTAAAATATTAGATTTTAAAATGCCTATTCCAGAAAGCCTATGCAGTCATTCAGGCGTAATGAACGGTAACCTACGTCCGTTAACAACAGAGAATGCCACCTGGCGTCGTGATGACACGACTGTGGTACTCTATACGACTGTTGGTGAGCAACAGGCAGTATCTCTACAACCTATGAAGTTCACAGGAAACTACGAGGCACTACAAATCACACTATAGAGTACTGCAACTCGTATATCCCCTGTCGTGTTACCCATACTAGTAACGGATATAAGAAACTGTAACTTAATTGTAACTTAGTTTACCACCTTTTGACTAAATACAATCAACACAGCAATGTAACTGACAGGTATTTTCTTACAGGTACTGATAGTGCAACTTTGGTGATATTATGTCTGTGTTTATTTGGAGGTTTATTGTTCTTCATTAGCTTATTCATCATCATTAAAAAGAAAATGATTGATAAGTCGACGGTTAACCAACACTATTCTGTAAGTGTGTAAGACTCGAGTAAATGTGTTTGAAATTGTCATTGGTCAATTACATTGTATACAATTTAATATATCATATCACTTATATATATATATATATATATATATAAATATATATATATATTATCTATTAGTAAAATAACGTTAATAAATATATATAATACTGATTTTTTTTTATTTTATAGGATGCTAATGATTTTGATAGTGACAGGACATCAGTCAACATATGCGATTTAGAGCCCTTAAATAAAGACCCTAGTGTGACCAGAACCGGAGACGGACATTCAAACTGTGCATACATCTCAGATGTTAAGGACAGCAAATTGTAAAATTTAATCAATCAATTAATGATTTGAACTAGATAGAATGCTGTGATCTGTCATATCAAACTAAAATTATACTACAGTAGTACGGTACCTTATACTGGTTTCAAATTCTCTGATACCCGGTGTCTTCTATAAAGCTCTGTCCTCACTATCACATTATTTATGTGACAAATTTTTGTGATTTGCCAATATATGACCATGCTGGTGTCATATTACTACCAAATATGAACACATTTATTTATCACTTAAATGTATTTTTGTCATATAAAATTTGATAATGTGAACAAGGCTTAAATGTTTAGAATAACGTCAGAAGAACTATTGTTGCATGTGTTACTACGTAGTTTCATATATAAACTTTAGGCATAGGTTCATCGCCGAAAATTGTATCAGTGTAAGAAGTGTTTCTTGCAAAAACATTTTTTTTTTCTTCAGAGGTGTAGCACTTTACTTGTGTCATTTCATTATTCATACTTGTGTGTTTATGTCATGCAGCTCAAAAACCTTTTAACTCCTGACTAGGCTGAAAGAAATCATGTTAATATTTTACAAAAACTAAATATGAATTTCTGGTACATTTTGGTTGTAGTGTACGCCAACCCAACCCATCGCATTGGTTTCTTAAGCAAAATATTAATAGATTTATGTAAGCAGTGGGTATTTAGTCGGTAGAATGTTTATTCGTTTACACAGCATTTCTGTGATTATTAAGAGCGCACTCACATTCTATTAAACCTTAAAGATTGGCAAACTGATTTTATACCAAATAGTATCAGCATCAGCTAGCTCCTTGTTGTAAGAAAAAAAAAAAAAAAAAAAGATGGATCTTTAAATCATCTAACAATTTGTTCTCTTTTGTGCTGTGAACACACACACCTGTATACCATAGAATCTGTTTTTATTTTGCGAATGTGATTTTATTAACCCTTTAGTGGTTTTCAATTTTCAATTTATTTATTAAAAAAAGCGCTTTTTTGTAATATGCAATAAAAATACATTATAAACGTAAAATAAAATATCAATTCATTTAACAGTCCATGCTAACAAAACTTTTGTTTATTGTTACCTTACTGTTTAATTAAAAGCATTTACTTTCATTATAATAATGTTAAATAACATATAATAATAATAATAATAATAATAGGGCCTACAGACAGGTCCTAGTGGTTAGGTCAGTTTATTTATCCTTCACTGTACTTCAGTCAAATGATACTGGCTTGTTTAGCTCAGTTAAAATGTATATAAGTGATTGAATATACCGGTAGTTGGCTTATAATTTTACAATCAAATACTAAAAACTTCAATAAAAGCGATGCGTTTTTATACCAAAATCAAACGCTGCTAACTACAAATGAGTGCACACCGCATAAAAGTGCACCACGCGCGTTCACACTAAGCTCGACTGTTTAGAACAAAAAAAGTTACCTACTGGCTCCATAAAATAAGATTGTAAGACAGACAGCCCCTGTGGTGGACGACGAGGGTTGCTGGATGTTGGTTGGGTTGCATTAGATATGTGCGCTATATAAAACTACACTATTATTAATATTATTATTATTATTATTATTATTATTATTATTATTATTATTAAGCTTTCATTTTATATTTTATTCCATTATATATATTATTATGTAGAACATTTGTTTTTCATTTTTACATATACCGCAAATTGTTACATTTTTTACTATTTTTAGTTTCTCTCCATACAGTTGTATAATGGTAGGAACAGTTTTATTTGATAATAAATAATTTAGTTGTGAATATATTTTTTTTTAAATCTGTCGCTCCAATTTAGTTTAATGCAATATCTCTTTTATGTATAGTTTGAGGTGGAATAAAAATTGTATTAAACTCTTGAATAAATATTTTTTTAGTATATGTTACTATACTAAATTCATCGGCATTGCACGTTCATTAGGGCAATATGCATAATAATGATACTTAAAAGGCAGTCATTTGGAATATAGCTTAAATTAGTTAAGCGTATTAACTGGACTAGGTTTTTTATTACACAATTTTCTGGGATTTCAGCAGCATCTACTTTTGCTTCTATATTTTCATAATTACAATTATTTCAAAGCAAACGGACGCAAAAAAAAAACAAAAACAAAAAACAAAAAACAGGAAAGTACTCAATGAACGCCTAGGATTAAAAAACTACCGGTACGTATAATGTAAGCCTAACATCATAAATTATTGACGTTTCGCAAACACGGCGTGAATATCAACCCATATTTTAAATCAATCTAAGACAACTATATAAATTGTGAAGAAAAATGAATTTAAACGTCGTTTTTCACAAGAAAGTTAGCTGTTTCGCTAGCTTTATCTGTTGACCATGTCTCAGTGGCTTGCCATCCCAAAACCAGTCGCTAATTGTTAGACTAAGTAATTAGCATAAGAATGTGACAGTATTGATTAGTACAGAGAGGCCGTAATACTTTTACTCATACCTTTGGCAATAATAAGTTGATTCCAGCAAACGATCTATCATTTTAAAGCTCATAATATGGAGAATAGGAATATATTAAATGATCAATTTTCTTTTTTTGTCACTGATGCTGGTTGTGGGATGGCATGCCTCTGTTAGTTTTACAATTTTAGACCACTTACACACCTTCGTCGGGGAAATGAAAAAATATAGGCCTAGGCCTATGTATTTTTTGCATATTATTAGATTTTAAAATTGATAAATATGCCTATGAAAACCTTAAATTGTCACAGTTTCCTGAAGCTAATCACGTTCGCAGGCAACAATGTCAATCCTCATCACCAGCTCTTGGCTCACATGGAATGGGCGGTTGCTACGCTGAATTTGACCAAAAAATGGCAAATTTTACAATACAGGTTTTTACCCAAAAATCGTATTTTGAAGCAAGTCAATCACTGGAAAATTCCTTTGAATATTTGGGCCAAAACATCAACATCACATCTTTTGATAGATAATGTTTATTAGCTGTCGTATAATATCAGATATATTCAGATTGAATATTATAGTAATGTACTAATAGTTTCAAAATACAATTTTTGGGGAAAAAGTGTAAAATTTAACAATTTTGTGGGAGATGACTTTTGATATACAATAACTCTAAAATTTAAAAAAATGGATAATGTCTGAATTTTTATAGGTGTTCCATTTTATGTTTGGTAAATTTTTGACAAAGCATCATACAAAAAGGTTGTTAAGCTAACTATTTTGACCTAAGAATGAGTTACAGTTGAAATATAACTAATTCATAAAAAAAATCTGCAATGCAAAAACAATTCATTTATGATAGGAAACTCAACAGTAATGTACAAATTGCCGTAGCCAGGAATTTCAAATAGTGCGCGATAACATCAGGGTGGACCCACTTTACGCGTAAATCCAAATAATGTGGACTCATTTTCTCTAAAGTTTGACTCATTTTATTATGAAAATTATGAGAATTATCAAAAATATGAAAATTATTGACCCATTTTCTTAAAAGTTTACCCATTCTAGGCAAAATATGAGAAATCTGGACCCATTATTCCAAAAGTGGACTCATTTTATACATAAATCTGCATAATTTGGACCCAGTTTTTTTCTTTTAGAAAATGTGGACCCATTATTTGTGGACCCAATAGAAAAAATGTGTGGGACTGTCCCAACTGTCCCAATAGCTGGCTACGGCATTTAATGTACAGTAATGTAAACAACATAAGTTGTATAATGTTCCCGATATCGAGACCTTGATGATCTGTTATTACAGTTTTTTTCAGAAACCGGAGGTCTTGAATCCCAGACGTTTATTGAGGACCTCTTTTTACATTATGTCTACATGTCTACATATAGTTAAAATTACTCTAACTGTTTTCTGCATTACTATTATTTAATAATTTTCTGTTTGGAAATTCACCCTTACCACAATGCCAAGTACGTGGGAAAGCGTCAAATTCTTCTTGGCCATCCCATTAATATGCTACTATCTACGTAACATGGACTGCCTACATTGCGGTTGTACGTGTAACCCCTTTCATTACAATTTAAGCATCTTGGGCATTTTTTAGCAAAATGAATATTGCACTCTCATTATTATAATTAGGAATGGAACTTAAGGTAACAGTTACATATATGTTTTTATTCATTATTAATGAGAATGAAAGTTGAGTGGAAAAAACATAAACAAATAAATACACTAAAATAAATAAAATTAAATAAAATATATAAAAGTCAGTATCATTACGTATTCGTGATGAGAAAGGGGAATTTTTAAGGTGGAAAAGGGGCGTTTCGCCAGCATTTATTCAAACCTACTGACAGAAGGGGTGCGAATTAGTGCAAAATTTTGAAACTACTTAGGCTTCTAGTAAGAATAAGAAACTGTAAAATAGTGTTAAATATTACGTCAAATCAAAACCAAACAAGTGTCTGGCAATGGGTCGAAATAAAATTGTTGCTAATGCAAAACAACAGTAAAGATAAATCTTTCCATAGAGGCTAAAGGACACACCTTAAGTGGAATAATATTGGCAATTTTTGCTTTTTCAAAATACTCGTAAAACCCTTCTTTGGACTTAAATATGAAACTCTAGGTACGTACATTCTGCTACAAATTCAATGTGCAATGAGTTTCTACTGACACTGATAGCAAATCTAGTAAGTCGCTCACAGACGATTGTTCGAAATTTGCAACAATATAAAATCTCTCGCGTAAATGGCATGATCATCGGCAGACATTTTTGTTAAGGTGTTCACTCGAGCATTATTAGTTAATATTTGAATGTAGTTCTCCTTATAAAGGAAGGATCATATTGCTTTAATAATTATATATATTTGAAATTTGATCAGCCAGTTATACTAATACACTCTTATTATTACATAAAATTACGAAATTACGATAAACTACAAATAAAGAAATTTTATTACGCTTTTTTTTTTTTGCCTGTTCACAGAATCCTCTATGTACCCATGTTAGATCGTACTTAAACCGGATGAAGATAAGAGGCGCCGAGAGGTATTTTTTCGGAGCTAGACCAATGTTCTGCTTAACCTTGTCACTTGAGCACTATTAGTTAATATTTGAATGTAGTTCTCCTTAAGGAAGGACCATATTGCTTTAATAATTATATATATTTGAAATTTAATCAGCCAATTATACTGATTTACTCTTATGTTACATACAATTACGAAGTTACGATAAACTACAAATAAAAAAAAAATGTATTACTTTTTTTTGCCTTGTAGCTATTATAATTCTACGGGTTGTAAATATCAAGATACATTTAAAAAAAAAATGAAAGTAATAAAAAGAGAAAAACACTATTTAGATACCAGTTGTTGTTGTTGTTTTTTTGTTTTGTTTTTTTTTTTGTTTTTTTTTTTGTTTTTTGTTTTTTTGTTTTTTGTTTTTGTTTTTGTTTTTGTTTTAAAACCAAGCAATAAGTTTCAAGGGATACAATATTTGTATTGCAACACAATAGTGTTTTGTTTTCACTGTCTCATTAGAGCCTAATATTAGCATTTCTTAACGTTTATATCCTTCAGAATCAATACTTTTATAGGGGGCATACACTTGCTACATTACTTGTCACAACTACTATACTGTGTAGGCCTTCTCAAATAGCCAGATTCAATATTACTGTGTTTTTTTATACTTTGAAAGACCATGCTGTACATAAACTGTGTCTAGTCATAGGGATACTATTACAATTATTAGTCCATTCATTTTCACACTATCTTTAACTTCCAAGCCTATTTAACAGATTTCTGCCTACTCCACAGTGTTAATCCAAGCATAAGCACTGTAGCTTCCTCGATACGCCACTGTTTTGCGAGGAGGAGGTCTGGTATGCATAGTTATGCATATCGGTTCACCCAGCCGACAGAGCCATATATATAAAGAGTTGCGACATTCCGCTCCTTGGTTTACGAAAGTCACGTGGTACCGTCCATTTTGTTTCATAATCTTCCCGATGAACACATGCAAAGTATATGTGTTACGTACATTGCATATTAATTTCACACACTTAATTGGGTTTACAACTATATTTTATAATACACCTGAACCACACACCTCAGTGCCAAGTGCCTGCATCGTCCCACCTTATCCCACCCCCCAACTTTGGAGTGGAGTTTAATAACTTGGTGGTGAAGATGCTTGCCTTCCAACCCGGGTCCTGAGACATTTTTCTCATGACCAAAACAACACCACTCCCTAAACCCTGTCTCTTATACACATCTAGATGTGTATAAGAGACAGGCCTAGATGCGTTCGGAAAAATATTTAAGCTAAATAAGAAAAAAATTAATTTGTTTTCCGGCCTTTTCTGACGATCTTTAAAGGTTGTTCGCTAAACAATATTAGAAAATGGTTCTTAATTTCAAATCTTTGTACAGTCTGTATACGAATGACAATGAAAATAAAGGTGATGTTTAATAATCTTAAAAATGATTTGCTGTTTCTATTGCCTACTATTATATAATTATTATAACTTTATTTTGGAAACGACGCTTTTAAAACAGCGGACACGCTCTTGCAGTGTGTTTATTAAAGTAACATACTGTACAGATATAATACAATATTAAAATAGAGGCGAGACTTTTAATACAATAAAATGTACGTTACATACTGTAAATACACAAGTTGAATATATCACAGATCCTGTATATCATTTAACACTTACAATTTATAACATTTACAGCAAAGAACAGTTTATATATTGCGGCCAACTGACCTATACTATTTTAATATTTATAAATAATAATAATCAAATTAATAAAATAAGATTTGTATAGGGCTCGCTCATATTCAAATTTAAAGAGCAAAAATCTATATACCCTAGACGGATTTAAATTACATTTTGATATACGTATTTATTTAATTTTTGCTGGTCGTCACATACCATTTATTTGCAAAAATAATAGGAGCTACGGTACTTAAGGATTGCCTAATTAAAGAATGCTTGCCATCGAGGGGCTCTCTCGGTCTATCGGCGAGGATTAAAGAACTGCTTAAAAATAGTAAATTATTACAGTATTATTTTATACAGTAATATGAAATTGGATATAAAGTAGTGAAATCATAAAAAATATCTATAAATAGTTACATGAAATTCGACTGCTAAAAAGATTAAATGAAAATAAACTATACAGGAGGCCGCTAACTGTATTATACAATATTAAATACAGGAATACACATCACGTTAGACACAGAACGCGCATCGCGTATGACACAAAATGGCTTCTAAATTCTCAATGTCGCAACTCTTTCTATCAATGGCTCTGCCAACCGACCTAAAATAGCGCCCTCTGTAATTTTACCTTAAGTGTAAGGGAATATAAAATAATGCGGACGGCACGCATTATTTTTTCTGAAGGATAAAAAAGTTTAGAAATGCTCGGAGACAAATTACGAGTACTTCGGACCAATGAGATATGTTCGGACACACGTTGCTAATAGTAGAGTCATTTTCATGAGATCCGTGACTAATTTTAGGATACCTTTGTTTCTCGATGGATTTGGCAAGATGGACCAATTTAGATAAAATATAGCTCCTATACCTCCCAGATATTGGGGGAAAGTCCCGTTTGGGGGCGTTTTTCAAAATGGCCGCCTGTTGATTTGGACGCTTGTATCTCGATAACCACTGGTCAGAGAGACTTGATTTTGGTCTCAAATTGTTCACAATATGAATGTTCCTATTTGTTGTAATACAACTTTTTATCAAAAAATGGCGGGAAATGCGGTTTTTGAAAGTTTGACCTTTGACCTTGTAATGTCATATCTCAATAACTACTGGTCATAGCATGGACCTATTATTATTAATAGGTCCATGGTCATAGAGACTTGCAATTAATTGCAACTTGTTCAAAAGATTCATGTTTATATTTGTCCTAATAAAAAAATATTCAAATAGTGACCGAAAACGGTACATTCTGACATTTGACCTATTGTAGGGTCATTCTATGTTAAATCAACCAGATTAAAAAGAAATTCCTGTATGACCGTCTCAGATTTTGATGAAACTTTATAAAATGATCCATTGTATGAGAAACCAAAAAAAAAAAAATTAGCCTCATAGGATATGTAGTTTTCGAGATATAAGATGTGCAAACGCAATTTACCTCAAATTTGGAAGCTTATAACTCGAGATTGGTAATAGCTATCAGAGCCAAAGTTGGTATTCTAACATAGTTGTCGCCATATTTCACAAATATCGCCTTAGATTAACAGTTATCCCTTCTTTTTTGAAGTTATCTGCACTAAAATTAGCCGCTTAGTTTAACGATGCATTTTTTTGTGATTTTCAAGGTCACCTTTCTTCCATTTGAATGGGTATATAACCCTCATATTACAGGTGTATTATCTAGGTGTAGTTGTCTCTAGCCACATGCAAGCGCAGGCTGATCAAATCAATTAAAATTGAATGGCATATATTCAAAGTTGGGACCAGATCTATAAAAGTGAAAAATGCCTATGTTTCTCAACAACAGATCGTCTTGTGGAAAGTTAAAATCTTTTCTTAAATTTTTCCCAGTTAATCAGATATATTAGATCTACCTATAAACCAAATTTCAGGTTTGGTACTCAGCTCCTTCATGGTTAGATACTATGTTGAAAACTACACAATAACATAATCGGAAATCACGAAAGTTTTTAAGAGTTGAGTCATTCTATGCCAACTCAACAAATGCATTACAACAGAGTCATAGATTTCTAAATTTTGTGTTGAGGACACTGTCTCAGTGTTATAGATATCTATGTGAACTGAAAACCTGATTTGTATTGTGGGTGACGGCCCTTATTATTAGTAAATTATTACTCTTGGAAGCACCGCTTCCATTCCAGTGTTAAATTGGCTATTCTAACGCCATCACACGGTTGTTACAATAGCAAGTTTAAGCGTTGTAGGGTATGCTCTGGCTCCCATTGACTAACTGAATACGTGATTGACTGAGATTAAAAACCAACCATGCGGAACTTCTAAGTAGGCCCGACTGTGACTTATGCTAGATAACAAAGTAGGCCAAACATTGAAAAACTATTCCAATGAACTGTAGCAATCCACTCGAAAAGGTTTATATAGAAGATTCTGACTAAGATATGCTAAAACTGATGTAAAACTTTATTGCAATCAACTGATTGAAGTTTAACAAAAATGAGTAAAATTGATATCCTTAATCTGATTTAAGAAGAAAAAAAAAGGAAAAAAAAGAACAAACCTCAAATTTACATCAACCAGCAACGTGGAGTTCGACTGTTCAGGGGGAGTTACCATTCATGATAAAGACCATGATTAATAAGCAGAATTAATAAGTTGAAGCGGTTTGGCGCAGCGTGAAAGGTTTGATTTCCCAACCTCGAGGTCGAGGTTTCAATCTCTCGCTGTGCATTTCGCTTGTGTCCTTGAGCAAGGAACTTTATCTGCATTGCTTCTCTCCACCAAGGAGTATAAATGGGTACCTGGCGGGGTTGCTCGCTCCTTCGCTGAATACAGTAGCAGCACTTAGCATGTGGATCCAATGACCAGGGACGTCAGAAGCGCTTCGTATCTGCAAAGAAAGGCGCTATGTAAATAAATATGATTAGAATAATAAATGTTTTTGAACGGTTAGTTTTAACTTTTGGAATACAAAATTCGCGGACTCTTCTTTGGTTTTATGGGACAGAAGTAGTTTCCGGTAATATAAAAAATTCCCTGTACAGTCGAACACGACGTTCTTCTAAGGTAGAGAACCCAAGTACACCTCGAGCACACTCATAACTTTCTCCAGGAAGGATACATTTCAATGGAAATAAGACCTTTTTAGGACTTTTTTGGGCTATCCTTGCATCTTCTTTGAATGAATTCCTCAATTCCTTCATCAGACTTTGTACTGACCTTTTCCTTGTTTTCTTGGTAAGTTTTTCTAATGAATTTTATGCTTTTTACATTGTGTATTGTTTTAATGATTGTACTGTTTTTATATGAGATGCGAATAAATCAAATCAAATCAAAATTCAAAGCTCTTCTCTGAATTTGTTCCAGTTGTTGGCTCTGTTGCTTAGTAATATTGGTTCCCCAAACTGGGCCGCATATTCCAATATTGGTCTTGTAATACCTATAATTGAACAAGTGCCGGAGCATCTAAACCCGCTCTGCGGACCAGTTTGAGGAAGTGCATTATAATGTTACATTTATTAATCATCTGAACAATGTGGGGTTGCTATGATAGACAATTAGAGATAATTAATCCAATAAGTTTAAATTCGTTAACGCATTCCTCTAACTCTCTAACGAATGTCTACCAGAAGTTTAGACCTACCTAATAATAAACAGAAGTTCATCAACCACAATTAATTAATTTATCAATCGTATCAGTGCGTAAATTAGCAAATCATTCTGATACGCGCAGCCAGTGCACATGTAAAGTTAATGTCTTATCACTAAGCAACCTGTCACCACTACAACAAACAGTTTTAAATTATACACATAAAACAGGATTAATTCGGACACTATAGAAAAGACATAGAAGCTATTATTTTCTTCCAAAATGCCTTCAGACAGGCGGGCTTCATGCATTCCATTTTAGGAAATAATGGCTCTTCGGCCATTTTTTTTATAGTGCCCTCATATTAAATGCATTCTCGGCTTACCATACACAAATTTGGATCCATTCTATCGGATAATGTATAGTTACGTCAATAGAAACAAAGGCAAAGGTTGAAACCGATATGCTCAAATTCATATCTTTCGATTGTGTGCTTCACTTTGTATCAGAATCCTGGATCGAATATATTTAATTTCTCTACTTATAGTCACAAAATGCGCCCATTATGGCGTCAACATTTGCTCTTTATTATGATAGTTATAGTATTATCGGATGCAGCTCGAGTTTTCAACTTTAAACCAGGACTTGACTATAACTATGAAGTTCAAACTGCTACTCACATGACAAATGTAGGGAAAATGAATGCAAAAGCAAAGGTTTGTTATCTCTTTAACCATTATAACAATTGATTTATTAGGCCTTATAGCAGAATAGGTAGACTTCAAAGGCATAATATGTTGTAAATTTCATGTTTATTCCAAACGTTTCGCCGGTTGGTGCTTCATCAGTGGACTAACATCGTATGTTACAAAGCAACGTATATAATAAGGCTAAGGCCTGTTAGGTCAAATGACTATGCATTGACTACTACATTTGTACTTCACATCTATATGTAAATCTCAGTATATGTGTGAGTGATATTCATTAATATGTGTGATCAGGTTATTTTTATATATGTTTATGTATAATATGTGGGTTTGGGTATGTGTAAATGAACGTATATATAAAGATGTGAATGCATATATATATATATATATACTGTCTCTTATACAC